ATAAAAGTGTATGGAAGTTTACTCAAATAACTAAGAATTGATCTACCATATGATCCAGCCATTCTTCTACTGGCTATTTACCCCAAAAACTTGAAAACTCATGTTCGAAAAGATATTTGCACACCGATATTCATAGCAGCATTATTCACAGTAGCCAAGACATGGAAGCAACTGAAGTGTCCTACGATAGATGATTGGATAAAGAAGTTGTGGTACATATATACAATGGAATATTGCTCAGCCATAAGAAGAGATGAAATATTGCCATTTGCGACAACACACAACATGGATGGACCTTGAGATGACTGGTTGAAAAAGTTGAAAATCACATGATATCACTTATATGTGGGATATAAACCTAAAAGCAACAAATGAAAAGGACAAACAAACAGAGAGTCATGGACATGGACTATAGACTAGTAGTTACCAGAAGGTAGAGAGTGGGGGAGGAGGGAGGAGGTGGATGGGGTAAAGGGGGTCTAATATAGGGGGTTAGGGGGAGGGTGAAGTGGGTCAAAGGGATCAAATATATGGTAGCTGAAGGAAAATGGACTTTGTGTGGTAAACACACAATAGAATATACAGGTGTCAAATTATAATGTACACCTGAAAATTATATAATTGTATTAACCAATGTTACCCCAATAAACTTAATTTTAAAAAATGAGGAGGCATTTCTTGGCAGTGGAGGACCTCCCTGAGGAGCGAGAGGTCCTAGCCCCACACCAGGCTCCCCAGCCCAAAGTTCCAGTACTAGGAAGAGAAGTTCCCGCAGCTGGCTGTGAAAACTAGCAAGGATTGCATCCAAAAAGGACAAGGCTGCTGGAGACTGTGGAGAACCTCTTAAGGTGCTCACACATAGACTCACTTGGTCAAAAACTCACAAGCTCTATGCTCCAGTGCAGGGGCAGCAGCTGGAAAAGAACCAGGGGCACAGGGGAGGAACTAAACTGACTAACTTCAAGGTGAGAGCTGGAGGAACATGGGTTGGAATAGCTCTCTTTAGGGACAGCAGCACTACCAGGTGCCATTGTTCTTTTACGGAGCTCCCCTCCCACCCAGCTAGCTGGCGCAGGAGGGCACCAAATCTGAACTTTCCATTAACTTGATTAACATTGTTCATCCCAACCTGGTGATTCCCTGAGACCTCACCTCACTCAACTCACCTGTTTGATTTAGGCCTATTCCAGTGGTTCCTCCACACGAGGTATGCCTCAGATCATGCTGTAAACTTTTCCAAAATCTAAAAAAACAAGCAGCAGCTGACCTCAGCATGCCTTGTAGCTCTTGCTAAGTGGCCCCAAGCCTGGCATAAGTGGTGGCCACTCTAGAGCAGGAACTTCAACTAAGCAGCACAAATGGTGGCTGGCCTCACCTCACATCATGGTGCCCAATAAAGGGGCCAAAATCTGGCTCAAGTGGCAGCTAGCCTCAGTTTGCAGCATAGCCTCTCCCAAGCACTGCCAATCCCCACAAGCAGATAATTTTATAGCACCTTCCAAGAGACCCCAGGCCCAGCACAAGTGATGGCTGACACTGGCCTGCACCAAAGCACTTCCCAAGAGGATCCAGAACCAAAATACCTGGTGATTGGCTTCAGGCCACACAAGAGCATCACACAACTAGTTGTACAAATGATACACCTGAAAGGCAGTCTAGGCTGGTACCAGAGCCCTGCTAAAGTGACTCCTGCTCCATGGGGGCTGCCCCCACACAATGGCTCATCCTC